CATTTATATTTAGTGTTATTATTGATAAGTAAGAACTTACTACTGCCATTTTTTGGCTTGTTTTACAGTTCTTTTGAGACTCCTCCCTGTCTTCTTGTGTGGTTAAGGGATTTTCTCTGGTAATATGTTTTGTTACTTTTTATTTTTAGTGCATCTATTACAGGTTTTTGAATTGTGATTACCATAAGGCTTAAAACATCTTATAGATATAATAAATTATTTTAAAGAGATGACAGTTTATCTCCAATCACAAAAGAACACACATACACACAAATTCTACACTTTAACTCCATCTCCCATATTTTGAATTTTGTCTCAATTTACATATTTTCATATTACCTATCTCTTAGCAGTTTCCTTTAGTTATTATGTTTGAAAGATTTGTCTTTTGGGCTTCATACTACAGTTATGAGTGAATTATACACTACGGTTACAGTATTAGAGTATTCTGGGTTTGCCTGCATATTTAATTTTATCAGTGGGTTTTATACTTTGAAAAGTATTCTTTTAGCATGTTAATGTTCTCCTCTTTCAGAATGAAAAACTCCCTTTAGCATTTCTTGCAAGATGGATCTGGTGGTGGCGAATTCTTTCAGCATATGCTTGTCTGGGAAAGACTATCTCTCTCCTTCGTATTTGAAGGATAATTGTGCTGGGTATAGTGTTGAAAGATAATTATGCTGGCTATAGTGTTCTTGTAGCTTTTTAAAATTTGAAAATGTCATTCCGCTCCCTCCTGGCCTATATGATTTCCATTTAGAAGTCTGTTGCCAGATGAACTGGGGATTCTTTATGTTTTTTGGCTTCTTTTTTTCTTCTGCTTTTAGGATTCTTTGTCCCTGATCTTTGAGAGTTTATTATATGCCTTGGGACAGTCTTATTTTGGTTGAATCTGTTTAGTGCTCTCAGATGTTCCTGTACCTAGATATTTATATCTTCCTCAAGTTTTGGAAAACTTTGTTACTTCTTTGAATAAGCTTTCTATCTCTTTTTCTTGCAGTTTCCTCTTGAACACCAATATTCTTAGATTTGGTCTTTCCAGGTGTTTTTCTAGATCTTGTAGGCAATGTTCATTCTTTTCAGTTCTTTTCTCTGTGTATTTTCAAGTAGCTGCTGTTTGAGCTCACTCATTATTTCCTCTGCTTCGTCCATTCTGCTGAGAGCGTCTAACGAGTTCTTCAATCCAGCAAATGTATTTCTAAGTTGCAATATTTCTGAGTTTTAAAAATGTATTTTAATCTCTTGGTTAAATTTCTCTGATAAATTTCTGAATTCATGTGTGTGTGTGTGTGTGTGTGTGTGTTATCTTGGAGATCACTAAGTTTCCTTAAAGCCACTATTTTGAATTCTTGATCAGAGAGCTCACAAATTGCTGTCCCCTTAGGGTCTCATTGGATTTTTGCTTTGTACTTTTGGGGAAATCATGATTCCCTGTTTGCTGTTGTTTTCTGTGGGTTTACATCTATATATCTGCATTGAAGAATTATTTATTCCAGTCTTCTCTGTCTGGCTCATTTTGTTTTTTATTGAATATATTTGCTAATGAAATTCTTACTGCTAGGTCACTGCTTCTTTTTTGGCTCTAGGTGGCACCTTAAGCCCAAGCTTGCCTCAGCTCTAATAAATGATCAGGAGATCCTGACAAAACAGGAGTTCCTAATGAAAGCATTCCATATGGAAAGGAAAGATTATTACCAACCACTATAAAAACACATTTCAATACACAGAGCAGTGACACTATAAAGCAACCACACAAACAGGTCTGCATAATAACCAGCTAACATAATGATGACAAGATTAAATCCACACACCTCAATACTAACTTTGAACGTAAATGGGCTAAATGCCCCAATTAAAAGACACAGAGTGGCAAGCTGGATAAAAAGTGATACCCATTGCTATGCTGTTTTCTAGAGACCTGTTTCACATGCAGTGACACCCACAGGCTCAAAATAAATGGATGGAAAAAAATCTACCCAGCAAATGGAAGACAAAAAAAAAAAAAAAAAAAAAAAAGAGAGAAGTCTCCCATAACACTGTAGAAATGACAAAATTATGAGGAAATGCTTCTTGGAATTAATCCTATAGCTAGTTTCATATATAAGCCCCTCATTTATATTGTTCACTGCAGCATTGTAAAAGACAGAAAGCAACTCCTTCAATAGGATATTGGTTAAGGAAAGTATATTTTATCCATAGAATGCAATATGCAGCTGCTTAAAAGGGATATTTATATGGTGATTTGTAAGTAAAAATGCATAGTAGGCAGCTGTGTCTATGTACAATCATTTGCAGTGAAAACAAAGATCTAGATAGGCAGTGTTTCACACTAGGTTACAGTATTTTCCTCATAGGATTCCTGGGAGAATTAAATGAAATAATACATGTAGAGAACCTGAGTGTAAAGAGAACCTGGCCTACAGGTGCTCATTTTTATGTGTGCACATCTGTGTGTACACATATTTCCATATTTGCTTATATATTTGTGTATGTATGCATATATATGTGTGTGTGCATGCACAGTATCCCTGAAAGAACACAGTATCTCTGAAAGAACACTGAAAAACAGTAATAATTACATCTGGGCAAAGAGGGTAGAGAGATACTGACTTCCCTGTGTGTACTTTTTACCATATATATTATCCATTTTAGAAGTATATATACATGACCAGTTGTGAAAATATCACTGAAAATAGTGGGATAAGGAGCTCCAAAGTTTGGTCCCTTAACAACCATTAAGCTGAACAAAACCATCATAATAAGCTTTTTTTGAAATTCTAGTAGCTAATAAAAAATTACAACTTGGGGAGTGATTAAAGAAGAAAGACTGCTGAATTTTGGCACTGTAGTATTTTTGCTTACTTACCTGCTATCCCACGTTCTTCAGTTAAACAACAGCCATGAGGATTGCAGCCAGTGTTCCTGGTGTGGCTTGCTGGTGCCAGAAGGCACAATATGGAACCTGTTCTTAAAAAATTTTTACTGTGGTTTTATTGGCTATTTTTCATTTTATTTATTTTTTAGACAGAGTCTCACTCTGTCACCCAGGCTGGGGTACAGTGACACAATCTTGGCTCACTGCAGCCTCGACCTCCTGTGCTACAGTAATTAGCTCACCTCAGCCTCCTGAGTAGCTGGGATTACAGGCATGTGCCACCACACCCAGCTAATTTTTGTATTTTTAGTAGAGACAGGGTTTCACCATGTTGGCCAGGCTGGTCTTGGACTCTTGACCTCAAGTGATCCACCTACCATACCCTCCCAAAGTGCTGGGATTATAAGTATGAGTCACTGCGCCCAGCCGTGACTGTGTTTTAAACTGGCAGTTCCCTGAGGGATCAGCATAAAGTCTTGTCTTTGTTTTGATCCCCTCAGAACTCTCAGGGGTGTAGTAACTTTGCAGGTAGTGTCTGTCAAAATCTTATACTACCAAAAGCCACCTAGAGTAAGGACAGAGGATGGGGCAAGCAGCAGACAGATCTAAAAACCTGGAAACAAGAGGCTAAGGATATAAATATGCAGAGACATAAAGGCTTTGATGGGCTTCTGCATATAATGGGGAATCTAGAATGCAACACACATATCCAGGGCTGGATGCATGCTCAGAATAGACTTAAGAGGACCCTGGACTAGCAATTCTGACTGATCTTTGGGCTCCATGGAATTAAAAGGTAAAGGTCAGCGGGGCATGGTGGTTCATGCCTGTAATCCCAGCACTTTGGGAGGCCAAGGCAAGTGGATCACCTGAGACCAGGAGTTCAATGAGACCAGCCTGGCCAATAAGGTAAAACCCTGTCTTTACTAAAAATACAAAAATTAGTGAGGCATGGTGGCTCACGCCTGTCATGTCAGCTACTTGGGAGGCTGAGGCAGGAGAATCGCTTAAACCCAGGAAATGGAGGTTGCAGTGAGCCAAAATCACTCCATTGCACTCCAGCCTGGGCAACAGAGCAAGACTCCATCTCAAAAAGAAAAAAAGGGTAAAGGCCAAGGCAGAATTGTAGTCAGACTGTTGAAGCATTGAAGGAGCATCCCAGCTCAGAGCCAATCTGCAAGTCCCAGGAGATATTTTTTTTTCTTTGCTTTTAATTTTTTTTTTTTTTTTTGGCTCCAAGTGTTTTAGGAAACCTGTCATGTCATTGACTGACCACTGAGATAATGCAATAGAGACTTTAGTGATTACACACGACAAGGAATATAGTCTGAAAAAAAAATTAGTTTGAAAAAGTCACTAAATGGATGACTTTAACAACAAGTAACAGCAGCTAACAGTGGGGTAGTGGAAAACCTGATTTCCAGACTAATCACATTATAATACTCAAAATGCCTGGTTTTCAACAAGTAGTTATAAGACATAATAAGGAAACAGGAAAGTATGGCCCATTCACAGGAGAAAATGAAACTGAAATATTCTGGGGCTAAAAGTAAAATATTCAAAGTGAAAAAACTCAGTAGAAGAGTTCAAACAAACCTCTGAGGAGGCAAAATAAAAAAATGAGTGAACTTGAAGATAGAGCAATCAAAATTATCCAGTTTGAGAAGCAGAAAGAAAAGAAGAAAAATGAACAGAGCTTAAAGGACTTATAGGATTCCATCAACTGCACCAGCATAGGTATTATGGAGTTCCAGAAGAAGAGTAAAAGGGGCAAAGAATATTTGAAAAAATAATGGCTTAAAATGCCCCAATCTGATGAATAATGTCCATATCCAAGAAACTCAACAAACTCCATGTAGGATAAACTCAAAGAGATCAACACCAAAATACATTATAATCAGAGTGTTGAAAGACAAACACAAGGAGAGAATCTTGAAAGCAGCTAAGATTTAATAGCCAATTTCTTATGAGAAACCATAGAGACCAGAAGGCAGGGGGATGAGATATTTGAGGTTCTGAAAGAAAGCAATTATCAACTAAGAATTCTATATCCAGCAAAACTATCCTTCAAAGACATATTGAAACATTCTTGGATAAACAAAAGCTAAAGATTAAGTGTGTTGCTAGTAGTACTGCCCTACAAGAAATGCTAAAGGGTGTTTTCAGGTTGAAATGAAAATCAGTAGACACTGGACAGTAACTTAAAACCATATGAAGATATAAAGAACATCAGTAAAGGTAACTACATAAATATAAATCCAGTATTACTGTATTTTTGGTGTGTAACTCTTTTTCTTTCCTATAGAATTTAAAAGACAAAGACATAAAAAATAATCATAAATCTATATCAGTGAGCACATAATGGATAAAAATTTAATTTGTGACAATAACAAAAGGGGGATTCAAGCTGTATATAGGCAGACTTTTTATATGCTATTGAAACTAAACAGATATCGTTCTTGAGTCTGGGAGCTCAGCCAAGAATTCAAGACCAGCCTAGGCAACACAGGTGTTGCTGAAAATGTCAGACTCAAATTTGGATAACAGTAAGAAGAATTTCTTTGAGGTGGAAGCAGATGATGAGGAAAGTGTGATTTTGACATTGGTGCCAGTTAAAGATCAACCAAATATGGAACAAATGGAACCAAGTGTTTCAACTTCTGATGTCAAACTGAAGAAGCCTAAGAAATACAATCAAGTTAATCTACTTCAAACAAATGAACAATTTACAGCGCCACGAAAAGCTAGTTGCAAAATACCAGCCCCTCCGATGCCGACCATTTTGCCTCCTATTAGTAAGGTGTGTCAAGACACTTTGCGGAACTGGTGTCAAGAACTTGGTTTGAATATGAAGGGCAAGAAAACAACTTTATCCGAGGCTCCATGGGCATGCTTACCCTGAACAACAGCAAGATATGCCTGAAATGTTACAAGAGACCAGAGTACAGCAGTGTTCAAGGAAAAGCAAGGCAGTGACCAAGACAGCAAGGCTTCAGAAAAGTTTTAAGATGAGTGAGACAGCAGAAGAGACTAATACAGTTGAAGCGATAACTTCAGTGCAGGAAGCCATGTTGGCATCGTGGGCAAGAATTTCTGCAAGAGCTGTTCATCCTAAGGCTGTGAATTTGTGTTCCATTCGTGTTTCTGTTGAGGCCTTTTTGATGCAAGCTTCTGGTGTCAGGTGGTGTGTGGTCCATGGCCAGCTTCTCTCAGCAGACACAAAGGGTTGGGTACGCCTGCAGTTTCATGCAGGTCAGGCCTGGGTGCCTACAACTCGCAGGAGGATGATTTCTCTCTTCTTGTTGCCTGCCTGCATTTTCCCATCCCCAGGCATAGAAGATAATATGTTATGCCCTGACTGTGCTAAGAGGAATAAGAAGATGATGAAAAGATTAATGACAATAGAGAAGTAGCAATGACCTGCTTGAATACAATGTACTAGAGAAGGTGGGATGTACTTTCACACCATGTACCCTATTATGAAGGAATGGAAGAGGAGACAATTTGAATGAATCATCCTGATCTACAAAACAGTCATAGTGACTAGGACTCCCCAGTGAAGGTGGTTGACTAGTGACACAGCCCCATCTAAAGAGCCCCTTTCTGTACGCCTGAAAACCCATTAAAATAAAGTCACTGCAGTTGGCCTTTAAAAAAATATATATCTATAAATTGTGGGTGTTAATTGTAATTCCCATGGTAACTACTAAGAAAGTAACTCAAAAACACAGAGAAAAGGTACTGAGGAAGAAATCAAAATGGTACACAAGAAAAAATTAAACCCAAATGCTGGCAGTAATAGAGGAACTGAGAAACAAAAATGATATGAAATATATAGAATACAAACAGCAATCTGGTAGAAGTAATTTTTTCCATATCAGTAATTGCTTTAAATATAAATGGATTAAAGTCACCAATTAAAAGACAGATTGGCAGAATAGATTTAGGAAAAAAACAAGATCTAACTATATGTTGTTTAAAGAGACTCACTTTAGATCCAAAGACACCAACAGGTTGAAAGTAAAACATTAGAAAAAAAGATATTCCAGGTAAATAGTAACCAAGAGTCTGAGATAACTATAATACCAGACAAAATAGTAAAATTTTTAAGTAAAAAATTGTTAAATGAGACAAATAACGACAATATATACTGATAAAAGGGTTAATTCACCAAGAAGATAGAACAATTATAAACACATATGTACATAAAAACAGAGCCCCAAAATATAGGAAACAAACATTCACCAAATTAAGAGAGAAACAGACCGTTCTACAATAATAGTTGGAAACTTCAGTATCTTGCTTTCCAGAACAGATAAAACTGAGCATAAAATTAGCAAGAATGGATAGAACAGCTAGAAAGAAGATCAACAAGGAAATGGAGGACTTGAACAACACTATACATCCACTAGACTCAATAGACATAGATAGAGAACTTCACCCAACAGTAGAATATGCATTCTTCTCAATTGTGCATGGAACATTCTCCAGGACAGACCATATGTTGCGTCACAGAACACGTCTCAGTAAAATTTAAAAGACTTAAATCATACAGAGATCATTTTAAATATTTTTGAGGAATCTCTATGCTGTCTTCCATTATGGCTGTAACAATTTGCATTCTTATCAACAATGTACAGTCACGTGTAACTTAACGGGGATACATTCTGTGAAATTGTTAGATGGTTTCATCATTGTGTATGATGGTATAGCCTACTACACACATATGGCCTAGATGGTATAGCCTACTACACATATAGGCTGTCTGGTATAGACTATTGCTCCTAGGCTATAAACCTGTATAGCATGTTACTGTATTAAAAACTATAGACAATTATAACACAGTGGCATTTGTGTTATCTAAACACAGATACTATAAAAATGTGGTATAAAAGATAAAAAATAGTATACCCATCTATGGTACTTATCATTAATGGAGCTTCCAGGACTGGTAGTTGCTCTAGGTGAGTCAGTGAGTTAGTGGTGAGTGAATGTGGAGGCCTAGGACATTACTGAACCCTACTGTACATTTTACAAACACTGTACACTTATGCTACACTAAATTTTAAAAGATTTTTCTCTCTTCAATAATAAATTAACCTTAGCATACTACAATGTTTTTACATGATACACCTTTTTAATTTTTTTTTTTTTTTTGAGACTGAGTCTCACTCTGTTGCCTAGGCTGGAGTACAGTGGCACGATCTTGGCTCACTGCAACCTCCGCCTCCCGGGTTCAAGCGATTCTCCTGCCTCAGCCTCCTGAGTACCTGGGATTACAGGCACCTGCCACCATGCCTGGCTAATTTTTTTGTATTTTTAGTAGAGAGGGGGTTTCACCAAGTTGGCCAGGATGCTCTTGATCTCTTGACCTTGTGATCCACCCATCTTGGCCTCCCAAAGTGCTGGGATTTACAGGTGTGAGCCACCGTGCCCAGCCCCTTTCTAATTTTTTTAACCTTTTGACTTCTTTGTAAAAGCACTTAGCTTAATACAAACACATTGTACAGCTGTATAAAAATATTTTTTCTTTATTATCCATATATTTTTTAGAGGTCTCGCCCTGTCAACCAGGCTGGAGTGCAGTGGTACAACCATGGCTCACTGCAGCCTCCAACTCCTGGGCTCATGCAATCCTCCCACCTCAGCCTTCTGAGTAGCTGGGACCACAGGTACATACCACCACACCTGGTTAATTTTTTAAAAACATTTCTATAGAAAGGCGGTCTCACTCTGGTGTGCAGGTTGGTTTTGAACTCTTGGGCTCAAGCAGTTCTCTCACCTCAGTTTCCCAAAGGGCTGGGATTACAGGCATGAGCCACCACATTCAGCCTATTATCCATATTCTATAAGTTTTTTTCTATTAACTAAAAAAAAAAATTTTTTTGTTAAAAACTAAGACACAAACACATGTATTAGCCTAGGCCTGTACAGGGTCATGATCATCAACAGTCTGCCGCCTCCACATCTTGTTTCACTCCAGTTCTTCAGAGGCAATAACACACATGGAGCTACCATCTCCTGTGATAATAATGCGTTCTAGAATACCCCCTGAAGGACCTGCCTGAGGCTGCTTTACAGTTAAAATATATATATAAGTAGCAGTACACTCTGAAATAATGATAAACAGTCCATTAAATATATAAGCTAGAAACATGGTCATTTACTATTGTCATCAAGTATTATGTATTGCACACTACTGTATATGCTATATTTTTAGATGACTGGCAGTGCAGGCTTTTTGGAGTTTTTGTTTGTTTTTTAGACTGAGTTTTGCTCTTTTGCCCAGCCTGGGGTGAAATGGTGTGATCTCAGCTCACTGCAACCTCTGCCCCCAGGTTCAAGCGATTATCCTGTCTCAGCTTCCCAAGTAGCTGGGATTATATGCGACTACCACCACACACGCCTAATTTTAATTTTTTTTGTATTTTTAGTAGAGATGGGGTTTCGCCATATTGGCCAGGCTGGTCTTGAACTCCTGACCTCAGGTGATCCACCTCGGCCTCCCAAAGTGCTAGGATTACAGGAGTGAGCCACTGTACCTGGCCTTGCAGTAATATGTAATAATACATTGTGCTATGAGGTTATGACAGCAATGATGTCACTAGGTTAAAGGCATTTTTCAGCTCCTTTATAATCTTAGGACCACCATTAATCTTCATTGACCTAAATGTCATTATGTGGGCCCGTCACAGTGGCTCACACCCGTAATCCCAGCACTTTGGGAGACTGAGGCAGGTGGATCACTTGAGGCCAGGAGTTTGAGACCAGCCTAGCCTGGCCAGCATGGCGAAACCCCATCTCTACTAAAAATATAAAAATTAGATCAGTATGGTGGCACACACCTGTAATCCTGCCTACTTGGGAAGCTAAGGCAGGAGAATCGCTTGAGCCTGGGAGGCAGAAGTTGCAGTGAGCTGAGATTGCATCACTCACTCCAGCCTGGGTGACAGGGCCAGACCCCGTCTCAAAAATAAATAAATAGGCCTGGTGTGGTGACTCACGCACGTCATCCCAGCACTTTGGGAGGCAGAGGCGAGTGGATCACCTGAGGTCAGGAGTTTAAGACCAGCCTGGCCAACATGCCAAAACCCTGTCCCTACTAAAAATACAAAAAATTAGCGGGGCATGGTGGCGGGAGGCGGTAATCCCAGGTACTTGGGAGGCTGAGGCAGGAGAATTGCTTGAACCTGGGAGGTAGAGGTTGCAGTGAGCCAAGATTGTACCATTGTACTCCAGCCTGGGCAACAAGAGCGAGACTCTGTCTCAAAAAACAAAACAAAAAAGAATAAATAAATGTCATTATGTGGCATGTGACTATATAATGGTTCTCTTTACTCTACATTCTCACCATATAAACAGAACTACCGTATGATCCAGCATTCCCACTTCTGGGTATACATCCAAAGGAAATAAAATCACTATCTTCAAGAAGAATCTTCACTTCCATATTCATTGCAGCATTATTCACAACAGTCAAGATATGAAAACAAACGTCCACTAAAGGATGAACGGATAAAGAAAATGTATGCACACACACAACAGAATATTATTCCATTTTTTAAAAAGAAATGAAATCCTGCTATTTGTGAAAATATGGATGAATCTGGAAGACATTATGCTAAGTGAAATAAGCCAGACACAGAAAGACAAATACTGCATGAAACCCTGTCTCTACCAAAAATACAAAAAAATTATCCAGGTGTGGTGGCATGCACCTATAGTCCCAGCTACTCAGGAAGCTGAGGCAGGAGAACCGTTTGAACCCTGAAGGCAGAGGTTGCAGTGAGCCGAGATCACGCCACTGCACTCCAGCCTGGGCAACAGAGCGAGACTCTGTCTCAAAAAATAATAAATTAATTAATTAAATTAAAAATTAGCCAGGTATGGTGGCATGTACCAGTAGTCCTAGCTACTTGGGAGGCTAAGGTAGGAGAAGGGGATCACTTGAGTCCAGGAGTTTGAGCTTACAGTGAGCTATGATCATACCACTGCACTGTAGCTTGGGTGTCAGAGCAAGAAGCCCTATCTCTAAAAAGGAAAAATAAAATCGATAATCTAATTTTACACCTAATGACCTAAAAAAGGAGGGCAAATTAAACCCAATGCTAGCAGAAAGAAGGAAATACTAAAGGCTAGAGTGGAAATAAATAAGAGCATAGAAAAACAAGAGATAATCAACAAAACCAAATGTTACTCTTTGAAAAAGATCAGTAAAATTGACAAATCAACCGCTAGATTGAAAAGTATAAAAAAAGAGAAGATGGCTGGGCATGGTGGCTCACGCCTGTAATCTCAGCACTTTGGGAGGCCAAGGCAGGCAGATCACTTGCAGCCAGGAGTTCAAGACCAGCCTGGCTAACATGGTCAAACCCCATCTCTACTAAAAATACAAAAACTAGTTGGGTGTGGTGGCGAGTGCCTGTAATCCCAGCTACTCGAGAAGCTGAGGCACAAAATTGCTTGAACCCGGGAGGCGAGGCAGAGGTTGCAGCGAGCTGAGATCATGCTACTGCACTTCAGCCTGAGTGAGAGAGACTCCATCTCAAAAAAAAAAAAAAAAAGAGAGAGAGAGAGAGAGAAGATATACATGATTAAAATCAGAAATAAAAGTGGGGAAATTACTGCCAACTTTACATAAACAAAAAGGATTATAAGAGTATACTATGAACAGTCATATGTAAAATTTAGATAACCTAGATAAAATGGACAAAGTCCTAGGAATATCAATTACCAAAATGGATTCAGGAAGAAAAAGAGAATCTAAATAAATAGGTTTATAACAAGTAAAGAGTTTGATAATCAAAACTTCCCAACAAAGAAAAGTCCAGTACTACATGCCTTCACTGGTGAATTCTACCACTCGTTTAACAAATTAACACCAATCCTTCTCAAACTCTTCCAAAAAAAAAAAAGAAAAAGAAAGAAAGAAAATAGAAGAGGCCAGCATTATTCTGATTCCAAAGCCAGACAAAGACATCACAAGAAAACAGACCAATATCTCTTAGGAATACAGATGCAAAAATCCTCAACAATGCACTAGCAAACTGAAACCAACAGCATATTAAAAGGATTAAATAAAAAACAAACAACAACAAAAAAAAGGATTAAATACCAGGATCAAATGGGACTAATCCCATTAATGCAATGTTGATTCAATAAGAAAATCAAACAACATAATATGTCATTAATAAAATAAAAAAAGTAAAGCATAGGATCAGCTCAATCAATGCAGAAAAAGCAGTTGAGAAAATTCAAGGCCAAGTGTGGTGGCTCATGCCTATAGTCCCAACACTGGGAAAACAAGACGGGAGGACTTCTTGGACCCAAAGATTTGAGGCCAGCCTGGGCCACATAGTGAGATCTCATCTCTACAAAAAATACAAAAATTAGCCAGGCGTGATGGCACACACCTGTAGTCCCAGCTACTCAAAAGGCTGAGGCAGGAGGATCACCTGAGGGCAGGAGGTCAAGGCTGCAGTAAGCCGTGGTCACCCCACTGTACTCCAGCCTGGGTGACAAAGCAAGGCCCTATCTCCAAAATTAATTAGACAAAAAAACTCAATACTGTTTCATGACCAAAAAAAACCTGAGCAAACTAGTAACAGAAGGCAACTTCCTTAACACAATAAAAGGTATTTCTGAAAAATCCACAGCTTAACTGTATACTCAATGGTGAATGACTGAAAGCTTTCTCTTCAAGATCACGATATTAGACAAGTGCTTTTATCACTATCTTTAGACATTGTACTGGAAGTTCTAGCCAGAGGAATTAGGCAAGATAAATAAATGGGATCAAAATTGGGGAAAAAAAGATCCAAAACTATTTCTATTCTCAGATGACATGATCTTATATATAAAAAACACTAAAGAATTCACACACACAGAGTATTTGATATAATAAACTTAGTGAAGTTGCAGGGTACAAGATCAATAAACACATTGGTTTTCTTTCTATATACTGCCAACGCACAATATGAAAAGGAAATTAAGAAAAACAATTCTATTAACAATTACATCCAAATGAATGAAATACTTATGAATAAATTTAACCAAGGAAGTGCAAGGCTTGTACACTGAAAACTATAAAATGTTGCTGAAAGAAATTAAAGGCCTAACAAAAGGAAAAGACATTCTGTGTTCATGGATGGGACGACAAGATGGCAATACTCCCCAAACTGACTTAAAAATTCAATATAATCCCTATCAAGGCCAGGTGTGGTGGCTCACACTTGTAATCCCAGTACTTTGGAATGCTGAGGTAGGCAGATCACTTGAGGTCAGGAGTTCGAGATCAGCCTGGCTAACATGGTGAAGCCCCATCTCTATTAAAAGTAAAAAAATTAGCTGGGCATGGTGGTAGGTACCTGTACTCCCAGCTACTCAGGAGGCCGAGGCAGGAGAATTGCTTGAACTCAGGAGACAGAAGTTGCAGTGAGCCATCATGCTACTGCAATCCAGCCTGGGCAACAGAGTGAGACTCTGTCTCAAAAAAAAAAATGTGTGTTGTGTGTGTGCACGCGTGCACACGCACACACACATATATATATATATATATATATATATATATCCCTATCAAAAATTCCAACTTCCTTTTTTACACAAATGGATACTAAAATTCTTATGGAAATGAAGGGGACAGCCACGTCATCTTGAAATACAACCTAGTTGGAGAACTTATACTTCCTAATTTCCAAACACACTACAAAGCTTACAGTAATCAAAACAATGTGTTACTGGCATAAGGGTAAACATATAGATCAGTGGAATAAAATAGAGTTCAGAAATAAACCCTTCATGTATGGTCAATCAATTTTTGACAAGAATCAAAGAGCAAGACCACTCAATAGGAAAAGGACAGTCTCTTCAACAAATAATGCTAGGAAAACTGGATATCCACATGCAAAAGAATAAAGTTGGACCTGTTCCTTACACTGTATACAAATACTAACTTAAAATCGTAGTTTCTCAATAAATTAAGCAGAGATTATCATAAAACTCAGCAATTCTATTCCTGGATATATGGGTAGACATTCAAAAGCACAGAAGACAGGTGTTCAAACAAAAACTTATGAGTTTTATAAGTAATGCCAAGTATTCACTGTGGCATTAATTACAAAAGCCAAAATACTCAGCATTATATGTTGAAAGGTACACATAGCCAGAGAAGGGAAAACTCAGGGCTTGCTGGCTTCTCGGCTAGTTAAGGGCTGAAGTAACACCCACTGACTGATGAGTAGATGAGCAAAATGTGGTATATTCATGTGACAGAATATTATTTAGCCATAAAAAGGAATGAAATACCAATACATACTAGAACACTAATGAATCTTGAAAAACGAGTGAAAGAAGCCAGTCACAAAAAGCTGCATATTATATTATTCCATCTATAGGAAATTGAATTCAGAGTCAGAAAGCCCATTAAGACAGAAAGATTAATGGTTGCCAGCAGCAAGGGAGAGGGGAAAATGGGCAGTGACTGGTTACTGGAATGGGATTTCCTTTGGTAGTGATGAAAATGTTCTGGAACCAGTCAGTCATGATGGTTGTACAACATTCTGAATGTACTCGATGTCACTAATGATAACTTTCATATTACGTGTATTTTTTCCACAATTTAAAATATGAATATACATTAATTTTTTTAAAATTCCCTCAAACCAGTGGGCAGGATTGACTGCAGCTATCTTTCCTTGTTTAGGGACAAGATCCCTGTCTCCTCCATGAGAAAGAATAAGAAAATAAATTCAAATATTCTAATGTATTGATGATTCCCAATTTTAATGGTGAAGTACAAAGCAAGGTTCTATTATCAGTTCAGGGTCTGCACCCACCAACCAGACAATCTTCTTCCCTGGAATCCATTTGCCTCTAAAATAATGAGGCTTCCAAAATGTGGATTTTTTTAAAAAAATTCAAATAGTTGCAAATCAGAGAATCCAACTGGGTAAGCCTCACCGTTTATTAAACATACCCCTTGGGCTTCCTCATCCTGAAGCTATCTAGTTATAAGACTGGAAAATGTGAATGATCCAGGCCCCCCAACTTTTCTGGTCATAGTAAAAGTCACATTGTGTTGACCTAGCTCTGTCACCCACCTAGGATCTACCCTCTAAAAAAGGAAATCAATTAGAAGGAAACCCTGGGCCTAATGGAACTCAAATCCCCCTCCTGTTGTTCTTCCTAGATTAGGTGTGTAACAGCGGGCAACTTCCATCACCTGAAATGATGAGAACATTGTTTTTCTTCACCTTGCCTTGCAAACACATAACTGAATTGCCATTTTCTAAATCTGAATTGAATATTTTCCTCATTTCAGCCATACTAGGCAGAGCTCATCTGCTGCAATCAGCCTGAAAATGATGAGTCAGTCTCTACAATCTCAGGAGACAAGCCCAGATCCTTCCTAGAACGTCTCTCATTTGTAATGCTAACAAGAGCTTACAACTACAACTGCCCAGAATGGAGGCTTCCAGAGAAGCCAGAAGGATGGAGGCTGCTCCACCCCTGAATGCCCACATTACCTCTGTCTGGAAGAACCAGGTGTTCTAGGGTTAGAGATGAGGGAAAGGAGACTTACTGGGCTAGAGAACAGGACCAGGAATAAATTTGATCCAAGTCAGTCACAAACCTAACTGTCCAAGTCTGATCTCTGGATAACTTGAGAGAGAGGTCCCATGAACGCTGAAATTGTCCTCAACAGAATGCTTGCTTGTATGCTAATATCCATTTTCATTCAGCCCCAGGTTTGCATACTGCTTCAGACCATGCAACTAAGAGAACTGAGGCTCTTAATATTTCTTGACTTCTTGTTGCATCCTTTGGAACCTTTTGAGCTCACTTCCCTAAACCACATTCTCTCCTAAGGTAAACTGGACAAAACAAAGGCTTCCAAAGAAGCCCTTATACTCACAATTTGGATAATTCCCGAGTTCTCAGGGCCCCTTGAGTAACGCTTTACCCTTAAAGAAAATAATGCTAGCACCTGGGTGTCTTGGCTGCTCAGCTCTGTATGTTGAAAGGTACACATAGCCAGAGAAGGGAAAACTGAGGGCTTGATGGCTTCTCAGCTAGCTGAAGGCTGAAGTCACAGGGCTTGGCCTCAGCTGCAGCACAGGAAAAATGGAAGATTTTTTACACTTCAGAAGTTTATTAGCGAATGGTTTTGGGCCAGTTGGTGTTTACATGCTTGATCCCTACAGCCTTAGTGTACTAGCTGCAAGGGCTGGGATAGAACCTCACTGTCTGCTGGTCATTGGTGATGCTACCCTATGAAGATGATGGGCCTGTTGGATCCAAGGTACCAGGGCTCTGAGCCCACACTATCAGACAGACTCCACTTTTGTTTCCAGTGCCTGGGATGGGGAGATGAGAGTTTTGAGGATCTCAGTGTAGTAGGGACCAAACACCTCCTGATTGTGATGTGTCAAGTTGATAAACTTCTGGCCCAGTTCTGCCAGTTCTGCTTCAATAAGAGTAAGGCCTCCAGGGAGGTCTAACAGAGACCGCTGCACACCAAGAACCAAACAGCATTTGAGAAACAAATGGATCCGCTGATCTGTGAGCAGGAAAAGACAGTGAGAAGGGAAAAAGCTAACAGATTTCAGGAAGAAACATTTCCCCTGCACTCTACTCACCCAGGTTCTAAGTTAACAGATATGCACCAACCTGCCCACTTACCTATAGATAAGGAAATTTGTTTTGTTTGGAAAGGGGGTTGCAATCTTGCTCTCAAGGACAAATATCAAAAACTAGTGTGTCAGTAAATTTCAGACTATTCAAAAGATTGTTTAAGTATCCATCTTAAACAAAAGATTGTTTAAGTTAGATCCTAGTGAGTGAGTGATGTAACAGGAGGATCTTAGACTGATCCTTCAGATGGCTAAGGTAGGAGCAAGCTAGCCAAGTTCATGGCCTCCCCTCCTGGGGAGTCCCTACTACAGGAACATGTATTCCAGCCAAATTCAGCATTAGTTTCTTGTTGGGAGATGTGGGAGATGTCAGATTTCTTGGTGCAGCCAGAGAATGACCTGTAGGCCCAAATGACTTAACCAGGTCAGTTGGATTCCACGCCTAGAAGTCATGAATTTCTGGGTGCAAATCATCCTTAGAACCACAGTCAGTCTTTAAACTGATTTGGATATGACTTCAACCCAGCACTTTGAAAAAACTCAAGGCTAAACAATGACATACTCAATGGCCATGCTTCATGTTGTTAAAGGTTGGCGTTCTATGGTCAGGATCTATCTCTCCCCTCACCATTCTCACTACCCCACAAGCATACTCACCAATGACACTGCGGACACAGTTCTCCTTCTTGGCAATGTTCTGTAGCTGTCCCATCAGAGATGTTGCATTGTCACTGCTTAGAGCAGCAAGGCCCATATTCTTGAGGCTTTGATGGATTTCCTGAGACACCTGTTCACTCACAGACAGTATAGCTTCCTCAGGCCTAGAACATGAAAGAAAGTATGCTGGCACCCACCCGGTAACCCTGGCATAGGTCCAGAGCCCAGTATGCTCTATACCAGATGCCAGGCCCACTTGAGGGAGAATGTCAGCCATCCTCTCCACCTCCAAACCCCAGCCCCTGGCAGGCTGCAGGGCCCAGTGGGAAGGTACAGTGTCCTCACTGTAACCCTCAAGACACCAGCTATTCTCTATGTGTGGTACAATGTTCTACTTCTTAGCAAACAAAGCAAACTATAAAATCAACTCTGGAAAAGTGTTTAGTTGTATTCTTGAATCCACTCATCATTTCTTAGTCCCATGGACTTTGTTTTTACATATACATGTCTAAGACTTTATTGGGCATTTTCCAGGATCATCTGTCCTACCTCATCATTTATAACTACAAACCTGGCCTTCTGATTCCTCCTTTTCCTCTGGTGTGATGGCCTGCACACAGTGGGATGTTCAATCAGTATTGCTGACCAACTGACCAAGTCCTGGATATATGTGATGACACCAGCCCCCTGTCACCATTCAACTAGATAATGGCCCTCTTGCAGCAAACTATTTTCCACACTACCTTTTTTGGAAGAAAGTTTTTCCTTTGTCACAAGCCTCATGACCACTTATGGAAAGAAACCAACAATCTTCGTAGATGGTTCCAAAGGGACTTTCTGTGGTTTGTGGTAGACAGTAAGCAATCATTCATTACCTGCCTCTGTTTTAAATACCACATTATCACCTTCTACTCTAAAAAAGAACTATGCAGCTTACCTGGACTGAAAGTCTTCCAACAGGGATTTGGTTATGCGTTTCAGTTTATCCACAAACTGGGGTGAGCCAAACAAAACACTGCCAGAAAAACTACTGGACACCAGCAAGACTGAGGCCATGATGGTTAACTGGTGCAACTGGGACTCCAGCTCCTGCAGCCGGGTTCTGTCCATCAGCAGGGTCTGGAACCAGGGAAGAACAGGCTGTCAGGAGAGGTCCTGACGGAAGTCCTGAATACAAAACATGGCAATGCCCCCAGACATTCCTACCTCAGGGAACTCTTCATTTTCAGGGTCCCAGAGAAGGAGGTTCAGGAAGCCCTGAGACAGCACCATTGTGGGGCTGAGAGGCTCTGGGTTTTTGGCTGCCTCGTTAGGAGAGGGACTGGCCACACTGGAGGAGTCAGAAGTGTCTGGGCAAGTTGGAGGTGACATGGTGAGATCTGCTGCTGCTTGGGTCAGCCATTTGGTGGTGTGATTAAGGAGGCCTATGACAGGGAAGGGAGTGTGTAAGCATCTTTAGCATCTTCATCTATGAGGCTTCAAGACCAAGGTTCTTTTCAAGATATTCTTGGTCAATAAATAAATGCTTTCAGGGTCTTTCCATCTTAGATAAATGTTCCTTCTCCCTCCTCTCACCTAATAAGAAACTTTCTAGTCCCAGAAAGAGACAGAGTACTCTGTAACATTATTAAAGTCAGACCCACAGTAATATCTTTCCCACTCCTGGTCTCACATTAGATACATACTAGGCTGCTTATTGAGGAGTTCCTGGAATTTAGCCCGTTCATACTGAATGGAGTGTTCCTGCAGGTGGGGTTGAAGGCTCTGGATAGTGTAGTTCACCATGTCCATTTTCATCAGGCCCAGAACCTGGAAGATCCCTCTGACACAGGAGGAAAGAGAATATTTATGTTAAATGAAACCCAGTAAGCTGGAAACGCACCCAAGGAGTCATTAAATCACTGTATTTTAGAGTTAGGAGGGGGCTTAAGAGTAACTTAGTCCTGCCTCCTACATTTTCAGAAGATAACATGTGGCCCAGGACCCAATACCCAGGGTGAGTTAGTGGCAGAATTGGGAACAGCTAAATCTCTGGACCTTCAATCTAGATCTCCTTCACTATGGTCATTCTGTTGTCTCTTAAAAAGGATAGTCAGTGGAAAGAAATACACCATCATCCTAACAATTTTCTTATGCGATTATAAAAGAAAGATTATAAGTGATGCTATTTTCGACTTACTGGGCCAATTTTTTTTTTTTTTTTAAACTTTCTGGGTCTTGGTTCCTAGCGATGTGAAATAGGGATGACCACCCATCAATGTCTCCTCATAGTGTGTGAACTAGAAGAAGAGAAAACCTAGGAAAGGGCTGGGTGTGGTGGCTCATGCCTATAATCCTAGCACTTTGGGAGGCTGGGGCAGGTGAATCACCTGAGGTCAGGAGTTTGAGACCAGCCTGGCCAATATGGTGAAACCCTGTCTCTACTAAAAATAAAAAAGTTAGCCAGGCGTGGTGGTGAGTGCCTGTAATCCCAGCTACTTGGGAGGCCGAGGCAAGAGAATCGCCTGAACCCAGGAGGTAGAGGGTGTGATGAGCCGAAATTTTGCCACTGCTCTCCCCGCCTGAGCAACAAAAGTGAAATTCTGTCTCAACAACAACAACAAAAAAAAAAAAAAAAAAAAAGAAAGAAAGAAAGAAAAAAGAAAGGAAAACCTGGGAAAGGGATATTTCAACTTCTTAGAAGAAAGAAGTATGCGCTGTAGCGTCTTATAGCATTATAGAGAAAGGCCCAATCAATCAAGCTAAGGTTAACCAATAGGCCCTACGGGGCTGTCTTTGGAAAAGAAGAGTTAATTGACCAGAGAGAAGAAAAAGATTCTTAGTCAGGTCTTTAGCAGGGAAGAGTTGGTCAAGATAATGGCTATAATCTAGGTCTGGCCCAGCTTTTCCTGGCTCAAGGGCTAAAGCAGATTTTTGGGGGCAGTACCGAGCTTCATACCTAAGTAGCCAAACAGGATCCGTAATGTTTTCTAGTTTCTGCACAGCTTCATCTCGAACTGGTGCACACAGCAAAGCCATCATGTTGAGAACATACTTAGAGAGAGTGGGGACTTTCAAGGCCCCGTGTTCTGCTTTCTCCTTGAGCAAGTCCATGTCCAGAGTTTCTTCAATCTCAATTCTTAGGCGGTTCTGGCGTGGTAATAGCAGTGATAGCAAGATCTGCCCAGGAAAGAAAGTCAAAGGAGTTGATCTGTTTAGAGCCCCAAACTTTACCCAATGGGCAACCCCTTTAAAGACATACCAGCCTATGTTTTTTAAGGATCAAGAAGTTGGTTCTCTGTATTTCCCATGGAATATTATTTATCTTTGTTTAGAGGCCAATGACAATTCAAGGCTTAAGGGTATCAATTACAGGAACCGTATATGATTTTCTAGGAAGAATGAGATACAGAGATGAATAAAATCAAGGAGTGTGTTCAAAAGACATACAGGGTACGATAAATATAAAATACCCACCATCACATAGTGATGAAGTCTCTTAACTTTAAAATGTAGGCATTTTTAAGATTATTTTACTTCAAAGGGCAAGGATGAAATAGGCATAGGAGCTGTTTCAAGTCACTGAAATAGCCTATTAACCCCAAAAATAAGTTACTGGTGAAGAGGGACTCTTATTCATCCCTGTGCTTCTGTAACACATAGAACATGGCGGGGGCTTAGGGGATAGGGTTCAATGAATATTTAATTGAATAGGATATGGTGTTGTCATAGCGAGATCTCAACTGTTTACCTTCATGTTAAACAAATAAAATCAAAGCTGCTTCACAGTATCTATTTTAATTGCTAAGCTCTGCCATTTACCAGTTTGGAGCTTCTCAGCTCCAAATCTACCCTTCAGTGCCTACTCTGCAAAAATGGAGCCAGGCCCTTAAATTATTTTTCCTTTGCTAGCTGACATAATGTTAGATTTTGTCAAAAGAGGGTGTTAAAAAGAAACTGCAAGAGAAAAGGGCCTTCCTTCCTGGCTCTGGTAAGCTCCTCTCAGCAAGCTCCTGCACTGTGGAAGCTTCTCTTTGTTCAAATTACTGCATGGTTTCTGTCTCTTGACCGGACTCTGACTGATAAAAAGTTGGTACCGTGAGTGAAGTTTGAACTCAGATAGTCATATGTCCACTGGATCTGATGACCAGGAAGTATCAACTACTTTAGATGCCTTAGAAACCCAAGCAAACTTAGGGATAGCAGATGATTCCCACAAAAATTCAGGGGCCTGTCACTTCAGTAAAGTTTCTAGAGTTTCAGTGGTCGGGAGCTTTTCAAATGATCCCCTCCAGGGTGAAAGGCAAATTGCTGTACCTGAGCCACCCACCATTTTCAGAAAAGGCATAACACTTAGGTCTTTGGAATTTTTTTTTTTTTTTTTGAGAAAGAGTCTTGCTCTGTTGCCCAAGCTGGAGTGCAGTGGCATAATGATGGCCTCCAACTCCTGAGCCCAAGTGATCCTCTCACCTCAGCCTCCTGAGTAGCTAGAACTACAGGCCCATGTCACCATATCCAGCTCAGTTTTCTCTCTCTTTCTTTTTCTGTAGAGGTGGGGTCTCACTATGTTGCCAGGCTGGCCTCAAATTCCTGGCCTCAAGCTATCCTCCAATCTTGGCCTCCCCAAGTGCTGGGATTATAGTCATTAGCCACACTACACCTGGTTCTACTTTTTGGATTTTTTTTGAGACAGGGTCTCGCTCTGTTGCCCAGGTTGGAGTGTAGCAACATGATCACAGCTCACTGCAGCTGCCACCATCTGGGCTCAAGTGATCCTCCTACCTCAGCCTCCCAAGGAGCTGGGACTACAGACATGACCACCATCTGCAGCTAATTAAAAAGATTGTTTTTCAGCTGGGCACAGTGGCTCATGCCTGTAATCCCAGCACTTTGGGAGGGATCCTCAAGGCAGGCGGATCATGAGGTCAGGAGATCGAGACCAACCTGGCCAACGTGGTGAAATCCCGTCTCTACTTAAACTTAGCCAGGCATGGTGGCGGGTGCCTGTAGTCCCAGCTACTGGGGAGCCTGAGGCAAGAGAATCACTTGAACCCAGGAGGTGGAGGTTGCAGTGAGCTGAGATCATGCCACTGTACCCCAGCCTGGTGATACAGTGAGACCCTGTCTCAAAAAAAAAAAAAAAAAAAAAAATTTTTTTCTAGAAATGGGGGTCTCACTTATTGTCCCTGCTGGTCTTAAACTCCTGGGCTCAAGCAACTTATAACCCTCATTGGCCTCTCAAAGTGCTAGAATTACAGGCCTGAGCCACTACAGCCAGCCCCTTTTTGGATTTTTGAGGCAACATACACTACATTTGTGTTTGTTACTTTCACATTCATTTGAGTGATTTTGATTTAGTTAGAATCACTCACGTTTACCCATATGTTGCAGTGTGTGTGTGGGGGGTGCTAACAAACTAGAGCAAGAGTAGGCTCTGCAGCAAGTTTAGACTGTAGTACAAGCCACTCTACCATTTGGGCCTTATGATCCTGCAGATCCAATGACACTTTAAGTGTCCATAGCAAATAAGGGTGCTGCACAGCACCAATAAGAGAACCACACATGGACCTTTAGAAATTGGAAGCAAATCTATCCCTTCTTTACTGATAATAATTTGCCTTTTGAGAAAGTTTCTTGGGCCTTGGCAGAAAGTAAATGTCTCAGGCTCTTCAGCAATGAAGGTTTGGGTCACTGCACCGGATAAAGAACCCCAACCAGCTGAAGTTCTGGCCAAGGACAAAGGAAATATGGAATGAATGAATAGTGGAAGAAGGAAGCCATAGATATCAACTATAGCCTTGTAACCAGTTATGGAAACAGAACTATAAATTTTATCTTTGCTTACTATATGTATGTTTATTTGTATAGGCCAACATTTTGTTCTTCCTCCTTCTTTCCATTGTTATTTTATATACAAGTTGTTAGAAGTTAACTTTATGATTTAGCCTTTAGGTAACAGAACATTCAGTGAAACTGGCTGAATTTGAGTGATGGATAGAGTAACTATTTGGGCCATGTCTCCTCAGTTGGGGCGAAGATAAATGATAAATAGCTAGCTGTCTTGTAAGAGTTCTTTTCAGGAATTCAAATGTGTATAGAAGAGTGCATGTAGAAGTTGAGTAGCTATAGGGGTGGAATGTGCCATTTATCAATATATTGCCTCACAGATCCTAATCCATTGTTCTTTTCTCTGTTCTGTGAAAATGGAGCTAAATTCTTTCCATATCTTTCCTTTTCCAGATGACACATTTTAAGCTTCATCTGTAGAAGATGTTACTTAGTGTTTAGTGCTAACATACTGCCATAATCCTAGCAGCTTATAGCAACACATACATTTATTATCTCAGTTTCTGTGGGTCAGATGTATAGACGCAGTTTAGCTGGGTCTTCTGTTCAGGGTCTCACAAGCCTGCAAGCAAAGTGTTAGCTGAGCTGCATTCTCGTTTGTAAACATGACTGGGAAGATTCTGTTTCCAAGCTCATTCAGATTGTTGGCAGAATTCATTTCCTCACAACTGTACACTTGAGGGTCCCAGCTTCTTACTGGCTGTTGTTTGGATGCTAACTCCAGGTCCTAAAAGCCACCTGCAGTGCCTTGCTATGTGGCCCTCCCGGTAGGCAGTTCACAACACAGCTGTTTGCTTCTTCAGGCCTAGCAGGAGAATCTCTCCCTCCAGTCTCCTAAGACAGAGTATTATATGATGAAATGTTATCATGGGAGTGATATACCATCACTTTTGCCATATTGGCTAGAAGTGGCAAATCTCATCCACTCAAGGGGAGATTATACAAGAGTGCAGAACATTGTGATCACCTTAAGGTATGTCTGCCGCATACTAGAAAGACATTGTAAAAGGCAAGAGCTTTTCTTCCTGGTTCTGGTATGCTCACTCAGCAGGCTCCTGCAGTACACAGCTCCTGCAGCATGAATAGCTTCTCCAGTGGTTGGCTCCTGCAGTGTACTGTGGTCAGCAGCATGCACAGGCCAGCAACTTCTCATGGAATAGATACACCTTTTCAAATGAGGTCCTTGGGTGGCCTCTCTCAGCCGTAGGGGTATGACAGATGCCCTTTATATATGATGTTCAATAATTCTTAGTTCTCTTTACTCTTAGTAGCCAAGTCCTCATTTCTCCTATTCCCTGTTATAATAATTTTATATTAAACCCTCCCTGCTGAAATTACTGTGCGATTTCTGTTTATTGCTTAGTCTCTGATTCATGGACCATGTTCAGTTGAGATTTGCTAGCCACTGACATTCTAATGAGCTGGAGATGTCTAGAAACTTTACATTTACAAACGGAAGGTCAGTCACTCACCTCTTTAATTTCTTTCAGAAGTTCAAGAGCACAACTGAAGTCAGGGGGAGTTGCTGATAGTTGCTCTTTAAGATGGTCCCAAAAGGCATTGTGCATTGTCTCCTTGACCTTGCCTTCCAGACTATAAGAGGGTTAAATGAGCAGATTATTGTCTCAACCCCAAAATGGTTACAGTGTCACAACCTCCTAAACCCCAAACTGAGTTTGCTATGGTAAAAGACCATTATAATAACAGGGAAAGGCCAGGAACTATGTTGGAACTGCAGCGGAGTTGAACAAGCAAGGGTTAGATTTGTATTTCAAGGGCAATCATAAAACCTCTCAGAAGGGCTCCTTGTAGTTCCAGAGCAGCCCTCCCTCTGCAGTAGGAAGAACCCTGAATGGAGAGAAGTCATGCGGACTTTTAGTACTGACTGTGCACCTAGCCTAGATATATAACTTGATTTCCATTTGTGTACATACAAAGCATTGAGCTAAATGGTCTTTCATTTTCTTATACTCCTGAAATCTAGGAAAGGATCCTTCTTTGAAAACACCAAATGTCCACAGATATGTCCAAATCAGCATGTCTAAAACTATATTCATTATCTTTCTCCTCCAAACTTGCTCCTCTTGTAGTCCCAATTTCCGTGGCACTACCATCTATCTAATAATGGCAGCCAGAAAGATCAGCCTTTCTTTTCCACCTTGAAAAAAACACAAGGAGCAAAGGAAATTTGTTTTATCTTTTGAGACAAGGTCTCACTCTGTTGCTCAGGTTGGAATGCAATGGCACAATCAAGGCTCACTGCAACCTTAACCTCCCAGGTGCAAGCAAACCTCTTGCCTCTGCCACCAGAGTATCTAGGACCACAGACACGAGCCACTGTGCCAGCTATTTTTTTTTTTTAATTTTTAGTAGAGATGGGGTCTCGCTATGTTGCTCAAGCTGGTCTTGAACTCCAGGGCTCAGCAATCCACTTCCCTCTGCCTTCCAAAGTGCTGAGATTACAGTTGTGAGCCACTGCACCCAACCAAGGCAATTCAATTTAGAAATAAGAGCTTTTCAACAAAGCATGTTGAAACAACTAGATATCTGCATTAAAAAAACAAAAACAAAAACCTAAACGCAGGCCTTAACCCTTCACAAAAGGTTAACTCAAAATGGATCACAGACCTACTTATAAAATACAAAACTGTAAAACTTGTAGAAGATCACATAGGAGGAAATCTAGGTAACTGTGACCTTGAGTTTGGCGATTACCTTTTAGATACAATGCCAAAAACATAATCCACAAAAGAAAAAAACTGCTAAGTTGGACTCATTAAAATTAAAAACTTCTGCTCTGTGAAAGACACTGTTTAGAGAACGAAAAAACAAGCCACAGACTAGAAAACAATCTTTGAAATACACATCTGATAAGGCTATGTATCCAAAATATACAAAGAACTCTTAAAATTTGACAATAAGAAAATGAACAATCCATTAAAAAATAGGCCAAAGACCTTAACAGACATCTCACCAAAGAGGATGTACAGGTGGCAAATAAGTGTATGAGAAGACACTCAACGTCATTTGTCATTTGGGAGTTGCAAATTAAGACAACAAAAAGAAAAAAGACACCACTATATGACACCTATTAGAATAGTCAAAATCAGGAAACTTACAACACTAATTGCTGACAAGAATGTTGAGAAATAGGAACCCACATTTACTGCTGATCAGATATAAATGGTACAGCCAGTTAAAGGCAGCTGGGCAGCTTCTTACAAAACTGAATATACTCTTACATATGATCTGGCTATCATGCTCCAGGGTATATACGAAAATGAGTTGAAAGCTTATGTTCACACAAAAACCTGCACACAAACGTTTATAGCAGCTTTATTCATAACAGCCAAAACCTAGAAGCAACAACAATGTCCTTCAACTGATAAGTAAACTGTCCATAAAATGGAATATTATTCAATGATAAAAAGAAATGATTTGGAAGGGTGAGGCAGGTGAATCACTTGAGGTCAGGAGTTCAAGACCAGCCCGGCCAACATGGTGAAACCCCGTCTCTACTAAAATCACAAAAATTAACCAAGCGTGGTGATGTACACCTGAAATCCTAGCTACTCAGGAGGCTGAGGCAAGAGAATTGTTGGAACCCAGGAGGTGGAGGTTGCAGTGAGCCAAGATTGCACCACTGCACTTTAGTCTGGGTGACAGAACAAGACTCCATTTCAAAAGAAAAAGAAGGCTGGGGACAGTGGCTCATGCCTGTGATTCCAGTACTTTGGGAGGCCAAGGCAGGCGGATCACTTGAGGCCAGGAGTTTGAGATCAGCCTGGCCAACATGGCAAAACCCCATCTCTACTAAAAATACAAAAATTAGTGGTGGCATGTGGCTGCAATCCCAGTTACTCAGGAGGCTGAGTCAGGAGAATTACTTGAAACTGAGAGGCAGAGGTTGCAGTGAGCTGAGATCATGCCATTGCACTCCAGCCCAGGTGACAGAATGAGACTCCATCACAAAAAAAAAAAAAAAGAAAGAAAGGAATGGAAAGAAAAAAATGAGCCATCCAGCCCCCAAAAAAACATAAAGGAAACTTAAATGAAATTACTAAGTGAAACAACTAATTGGAACAGGGTCCATATTGTAGGATTCCAACAATATGACTTTCTGGAAAAGGCCTCCTGAGCAGCTGGGTTTACAGGTGCACACCAACACACCTAGCTCATTTAAAAAAATTTTTTTTGGTAGGCCAGGTGCGGTGGCTCACGCCTTTAAATACAGCACTTTGGTGGGTGAATCATGAAATCAAGACCAATCTGGCCAACATGGTGAAACTCCATCTCTACTAAAAAATACAAAAAATTAGCTTGGTGTGATGGTGTGTGCCTATAGTCCCAGCTGCTCGGTAGGCTGAGGCAGGAGAATCACTTGCACCCAAGGCAGAGGCTGCAGTGAGCCCAGATTGCACCACTGCATTCCAGCCTGGTGTCAGAATGAGACTTTGTCTCAAAAAAGAAAAAAAATTTTTTTGTTTGGTAGAGACAGGGTTTTGCCATGTTGGCCAGCCTGGTCTCGAACTCCTGACTTCAAGTGAAAGTGATCCACGCACCTCAGCCTCCCAAAGTGCTGGGATTACCGAGATGAACCACTGTCCCCAACTCCCTCCCATCATCATCTCTTAAAATTAACTAGTCTCCCTGCCTCTAGTCTTGTTCCTTTATAATCTGTTTTCCATACTGCCACCAATTCATTCTAAAAGCAATGCTTTTTCTAAGATGTCACTTTTCATGACATTTCATTTAAAGTCCTTTGGGGGCTCCCCTATCACCAGCAAGATAAATGGCTTATGTTACCTTATATCATACTGCTCTGCCCTCTCTCTGCAATGTATTTTCTTCTGCCTTGTAACACCTTGTGCTCAGCCACAGCAAACTGCTTGTGAAGAACATATCATGTTCTACCACCTTTCTCTGCCTCTGACATGTTGTCTCCACTACCTGCTGTAACCTTTCACACCAAGACCACCTGGACAGCACTTATTCAACATCCAAGACTCAAGTCTTCATAGGCCAAATCTTCCTCCATAGGCAAATCTTCCCTGATCCTCCATAGGTAGCTGAACAACTGCTATTAAACTCTATATATGCACAGCCACAAGGGAACTTATCAGACTAATCAATCATTTTCTATTATTCAACTGTCTTCCCTACAAAAGCTTCTTGACAGCAAAAACAATGCCTTATCTATATCTATCCCTAGCCCCCAGCATTTTGCCTGTGACATAATAAGGACTCAATAAATGCCTGGTAAATGAATATCTGAGAATGGAATTTCCCTTAGGAATCTACAATTGTAATTAATATCATCCTATGAACCTAAGGTAAAGCCAACTGCCAATATGAGTCACCTCAAACGATTTCAGCCTTTTTCCAAACGTAATTTTTATATCACCATACTTGGAAACCCAGCTCTGAACAGTACTATTGCTCTCACTTCATTTTTTCCTCTCTCGTTTCTTCTACCTGCCATACCCCTCTATCTCCCATGCACCTGCAACTCCGTCACCACCACCCTATCACAGACCTTATTCTCCCAGTTTGTTTTCTCTCCTCCCCTGTCAGCAACAAACATATCTAAACAGCGAGAGAGCAGCTGGGAGACCCTCATTTGGTGAAAACCTGTTCTCAGAGTTATGCCCAGCATGGAAACTTGCTGGCACCAGGCAAGAACAGATCAAAGGAGCATGAAGACCAGAGGAGCAACATGTGATGGAGAAAGGCCATTTAGTAACAGATGCCCCGCAGTGGCCTTCTGATAAAAGCATTTAAGGATCGCAAATGAATCACAAGTTGTCATTATTTGTCTCTTGGTGGGAAATTAGAACAAATTTATTTTTAATTTTTTTTCTTCAGTCTCATTTGTGATAGAATATTTAAAAAAAATTTTTTAGAGACAGAGTTTTGCTCTGTTGCCTGGCCTGCGGTGCAGTAGCACGATCACAGCTTACTGCAGCCTTGACCTCCCTGGCCCACGTGATCCTCCCACCCCAGTCTCCTCAGTAACTAGGACTACAGCCATGCACCATCACATATGGCTAAATTTTTTTTTTTTTTTTTTGGTAGAGACAAGGTTTCACTATGTTGCTCAGGCTACATAGTGACCTCAAGCAATCCTCCCATCTCAGCCTCCCAAAATGCTGGGATTACAGGCAATAGCCACTGTGCCTGACCAAGAATTGTTTAAAAATATAAAATCTGACACTGAAATTTACCCACTTAATTGTCAATAAACCAGCAGAGTTAATTCAATTCATACTTACTGAATGGTTCTTCTTTACCACAATGTCACTATAAGAATAATAAAAACAAAGCCTGGTGTGGGTGAGAAAGCATTCTTTATCAACAGAGTTCAGATTTTGATAAATAAGTTAAACTGAATTATGAACCTGGGGGAAAAAAAATCCCAACAGTCAAAACACCACTAACAGAAAAGCTTTATCTGTGCCTATTTAGTATGAAGCCACTTAAAAGGATAGCTGATAGGAGCCATATGGTAGGCAGCTGACAAGATGGCCCCAAAGATCTCTGCTTCCTGATACAGTCATCCCATGATATCCAAGAGGGATTGGTTCCAGGATCCCCCTCAGAAATCTATGGATGCTCAAGTCCCTGATATAAAATGGCATAGTATTGCATATAACCTACACATATCTACCCGTAAACTTTAAATCACCTCTAGATTACTTAAATATCTATTTCAATGTAAATGCTATGTAAATAATTGTTATACTGCTTTTTAAATGTGTATTATTTTTATTGTGTTATTTTTAATTTTAGTTTTCTAATATTGTCTATGTGCAGTTGGTTGAATCCCCAGATGCAGAGCCAACGGATATAAGAGCCAACTGTATTCACATCTTTGTGGAAGCCTCTCCTGGAGTGTGGGCAGGGTCTAATGACTCATTTAAAGCAAAAAGAATGTAGCAGAAGCAATGGATATCACTTCTGACATTAGGTAACAAAAAGACTGGTTTCTGTCACGGGTACCATCTCTCACACACACCTTGTTCTCTCCCTTGGAGGAAAGCCAGCTGCCATGTTTAGAGCTGCCCTATAGAAAAGTTCACGTGGCAAGAAACTGAGGGAGCCTCTGGCCAAGAGTCACCAGACTGATTACAACTCATAAGAGACTCTATGCCTGAGGCATACAGTTAAACCATGCCCATATCTCTCATCCACAAAAACTGTGACATAATGAATATCATTTTGCTGAGCACAGCGTCTCATGCTTGTAATCCCAGCACTTTGGGAGGCTGAGGTGGGAGGACTGCTTGATCCCAGGAGTTTGAGACAAGCCTGGCCAACACAGTGAGATCCCATCTCTAAAAATTAAAATTAAAATTAAAAAGTGAGGTAGGAGGATCACTTGAGCCCAGGAGGTGGAGCCTGCAGTGAGCCATGACCATGCCACCGCACACCTGCCTAGGTAACAGAGTGAGACCCTGCCTCAAAACAAACAAAAACCAAAAAACCCACCCCAAATGAAAAAATGAAATGTTATTTTAAGCTGCTAAATTTTGGGGCAATTTGTTATGCAGCAACAGGTAAGAGCTACAGGCTGCTTCCTCCAAGTTTCTCAGAGAAGATCTGAAATCCACACTATTTAATCCAACAAATGCTGCTTTGGTTTATTTGCTGGCTAAACAACATTTGCTTCTTGATCTTCTTTGGTACTAACAACTTATTACTCTTCTGTTTCAGTTGTTGAGACCTCTTGGTTTAAATACTGATTGTATTATTAAATAAAAATGCTTCAAGTCTGATCTGAAGGTACTTAGCTTAGAGCTAAGTACCTATGAGCTAAGTACCATTAGAGCTAAGTACCTATGCCTCAATGAGTAACATGGAGAAAGAAGAAGAGTCTATACCTGCTTGGAGGTAAAACCTTCTCTTCCATGTAATCATGATTCATCCCAATCTCGTTGCTCAGCTTGGAAACTTCATTAACAGTTTCTGTCAGACCTATGACAGAAAGAACTGATGGTGGACAACAACGAACCCATGCAAGTCTGAATTTCTATTTTATTCAGAAATTCACTCAATCTAATAGGCCTCAAGTTTAGATTCATCAAACTGGTCTTACACAGACTCACCCAGCTATTCTAGTGATTTATGTTTCCTGCACTCTATGCCCCACAACAGTGCTAGAAACTTTCAGAATAAGTAGTCCAATATTGGGGGAAGGTAGGACAGAGAGCTAGTTTATAAAGAGCAGGAAGTGAAACAGATGGAAAACTTTTAAAGAGTAAAATCGTAACAGCAAAGAAACAATAATTTGAAATTTGCAAAAAAAACCATTTCTCTAAGTATTAAGATTCCACATTCCTTTTCCTGCCTCTGATGCTACACATGATGAAAGCTAAATTCTCCCTAGAGATAATACTCAGATTTTACTGAATAGTGTCAAAGTCATTTGGTCTTCTAAAGCGGTAGCTCCCAGATTTTAGGATTTCATAGACTAATAAAATTTCCAAAAAGATTTTAAGCAATTGAAAACAGCTTTGCTAACTTTTTATTTTGCCTACTATGGACAGTGAAACAAGCAAGTAACAATCCATCTACCACCACCAAAATCATCATCTCATCAAAGAAAAGATAGTTTAATCTCCAAAAAAAACCAGAAAGAAAATATTGTCAAAATAAAGAACAGTCCTTTAAATCGAATTAATTTAGCTTTAGGAAAACTCATTACAATATCTTTATGATTTCATTTCACTAAATATTGCTAAGAATTTTGTCATAGACTAGCACAGCCATTTGGCAACCACTGTTAAGTTTTTAGTACAGACCTATAGTACAGCTGATAGCATTCACACATAATAGGTATATCTGGCAGTTACAATGATTACTTGGTGTATAAAATGAAGCTGTATACAATCAATAATATTTTATCTTATTTTATCACTCTCTTCTGATGAAGCATCACGATTTTTCACAGAAAATTATTTGGCTCCAAGATGTGGAGGAGATATAGATGAACAGAGATTGGCCATGAGTTGATCACTGTTGAAGCTGGGTGATGGATAAATGGGGGCTCACTCTATTTCATGTGTATAATTTTTCTACAGTAAAAATATTTGAAACGTAAAAGGAAAAATAAGGTTACTGTAGAAAAGTTACATAAGAGAAAGCCCTTGCTCTTAGATACATGATGAAATATTTAGAGGTGAAGTCATGACTTTGCATCTCACCACAGTTCAAATGGCTTTTATCCAAAACACAGACAATAGCAAATGCTGGTGAGGATGCGGAGTAAAGGGAACCCTCGTACACTGTTGGAGGGAATGTAAATTAGTACAACCACTATGAAGAATAGTTTGGAGGTTCCTCAAAAAACTAAAAATAGAGCTACCGTATGATCCAAAAATCCCACTGCTTGGTATATACTCAAAATAAGGGAAATTAATCTATCAAAGAGGTATCTGCACTCCCAAATTTATTTCAGCACTATTCATGATAGCCAAGATTTGGAAGCAACCTGTGTCCATCAACAAACAAATGGTAGATATCCACAATGGAGTACTATTCAGCCAAAACAAACAAAACAAAAAAACCCACAGGATCCTGTTATCTGCAACAACGTGGATAGAGCCAGAGGTCATTATGTTAAGTGAATTAAGTCAGGCACAGAAAGATAAACTTCACATGTTCTCACTTACTTGTGGGAGCTAAAAATTAAAACAGTTGAACTCAGGCAGATAGAGAATAGAATGATGAATAACCAGAGGCTGGGAAGGGTAGTTGGGTAGGGTGTTAGAGGGTTGCAGGGAAGCACGGATGGTTAATGGGTACAAAAAAATAGAATAAGATCTAGTATTTGATAGAACAACAGATTGACTATAGTCAACAATTTAGTTGCACATTTTTAAATAACTAAAAGAATATAGTTGGATTGCCTGTAACACAAAGGATAAATGCTTAAGATGATGGATACTGCATTTATCCTGATGTAATTATTACACATCATATGCCTGTATCAAAATACCCCATATACCTGATAAATACATATACCCACTATGAAACCACAAAAAATAAAAATTAAAAGAAGTCTGGCCAGGCGCGGTGGCTCAAGCCTGTAATCCCAGCACTTTAGGAGTCCGAGGCGGGTGGATCACGAGGTCAAGAGATCAAGACCATACTGGTCAACATGGTGAAACCCCGTCTCTACTAAAAATACAAAAAAAAAAAAAAAATTAGCTGGGCATGGTGGCGTGTGCCTGTAGTCCCAGCTACTCAGGAGGCTGAGGCAGGAGAATTGCCTGAACCCAGGAGGCGGAGGTTGCGGTGAGCTGAGATTGCGCCATTGCACTCCAGCCTGGGTAACAAGAGCGAAACTCAGTCTCAAAAAAAAAAAAAACAAAAAAAAAAAACCAGCACTTTTGGAGGCTAAGGCAGGCAGATCACCTGAGGTCAGGAGTTCGAGACCAGCCTAGCCTCGACCACGCCCCCTACTAAAATAAAAAAATTAGCCAGGCATACTCAGCTACTCAGAAGGCTGAGGCAGGAGAATCACTTGAACCCAGGAGGTGAAGATTGCAGTGAGGTGAAAACACGACATTGCACTCCAGCCTGGGCGACAGAGTGAGACTCCATCTCAAAAAACAACAAACAAACAAAAACCAACAACAAAAATTAACTAATGACGTTGCAATTTTAAACGGGGGAGAGAGAAATACACAGGGAGACAGAAAAAGCAATATGGCAGAATATTACAATGTGGGCATTCACTGTATTTTTTTCTTTTTTACTTTTCATCATCAGATTTAGAATATTTCAAAATAAAAAGCTAAGGGGATCGCAGACCTTTACCAAAAACCCACTGAGTCCCTTGCTTAGGGCAACATAAAAGCACACTGGACCTTAAGTGGATGCTTGAAGTTCCCTTTATTTCTGCAGCCTCTTTGAAGTCTTTAGTTCCAGCCAAAATGGCAAAACACAATCAAATATGGAAACAGACTCACTGCTAATTCACTAATGCTAAATGAGAGCTAAGAGAAAATCTTCAGAAGGGGATTGAGCTACAGCAGCTTATTGAGGGACGGAAGGAAATACACACAGAAGCACTTTCCAACTGCAGCAAATCAAAGTTCACAGCCTGCCTCGGTAAGACTGTTCTGTTGCTCAAAAGTAACACAGCACTAAGCAACTCCAGCACAGCTCTAAAATTCAGGAAGGAGGAGAGCTCAAAATGAAATTAGACATAAAATTTAACTGAAATAGATTTAAAAAACCCAGATCCCCAAGACAAAGACATTTTCAAGGAATGTAACCCAAGTCAACCTAATATACAAAATTTCAAATTCTTTAAAAAAGAAATTTGATTATTCATTTTACTGAGAGTTGTTTCGTATAAGGATTCACTTAAATAGACACCTCAAAAACTTAAATTGTATTTACAAAAAAAATGGACTTTTCATCCTTCACCAAGGGTCACAGCTGTTGCCATTCTGTTAACCAGCAGCGACGCCCTGTGGCCACAAGAGAAACGAATCTAACTCAGCCGCAGAGTTTCAAACTAATTTTTCGCATTTCAATAGTCAAGAATTTTAGCTCAAGTTGTTGCATGTGGACAGCTCTTCAGTTTGATGACTAGTTACGTTCTCTGGAGATTAAAAGAAATAAAGCATGAGTTCCAGTGAGGCTGTACCTACCACGAAGCGTGGAGGAGACCCTGTGCCCCAACATGAGCACAAAAGAACATCTACTACAGAACCGAGCTGGAGACTCAGCCCAGGACATTCCTGAGTCAGCAAAGCGCTGAGAAAACCCAATTCCCGTCTGGGATCGTTCGTGTTCTTTAAAATCAAACCCAGATCTGCCATTTCCCCCTACATATTCAAAATACAATACAAAGGAGGGCTTTGAACCAACTCAGTCTCAAATCTCGTCAGATTCAAGCAATCACGCTTGGGTCACTTCTTTCTCCAGGACCAAAAACTCTTTGAAGACCTCTGGTCAACAGGGGGCCTCGAGCCTTATAAGTAAAGGCGGGTGGGGGAGAAAAGGAGAACAAGAGATGGACGGTGAAAGAGAGAAAAGTTGGGGAATGGGGGGGGTCTGCGGACACCCCCACACTAAGCAGCCCCGAAGGGGCCACACGGACCGCCGTCCTGGACCTACAGGGAGGGGGGTCCTCGGGGCCGCTCTTGTCTTCCTGGGGGAGTCCTGAGGTTTCCGGCTTACAGGACCCGCCCTCTGAGTCACCAGGGTCCTTCGGGGGCACACTCTCCTCGACGTCCGGCATTTTGCTGATGGTATCTGGGTGAAGGAGAAAGGCGCGTTGTTGGCGTCTGGGAAGGGGCTGGGGGGACCCTGGGGCCCCACCTGGGGGCGGCGGGAAAGGGGGTAGCGACCTCAGGGTCTTCGGGGTGCTGAGGGGCAGACAGGGGCAAAAGAGCCTGGAGGAGCGGGAGTCGGGAATGAGAGAGAAATGGAGCGCTGGGCCTCAACGAGGAAACTAAGGCCACAGAAGCCCCGCGCAGGGCGGGCCGCGTGGGAAGGCCCCTTCCTCCGCGGTGAGGCGGACTCCTCCCAGAAACGCCGCCGCCGGCCGGCCTCCGGGTCCCAGCCGTTCACCTCACCTCCTCCTCCCCCGCTGCGGGGCGCCCACTGGCGCCGGCTCGGGCGGCCTCGTGCCTGGCGCCCCGGACCGTACCACCGCGGCGGGGCGGCGGGGAGGAGCGCGCTGTGGGAGAGGCTGGGGTCTGAGAACAAACCGCCGCCGTCGCCGGGGCAACGGGGCGGGGCACGTGCCGCCCGCCCGGGCCGGAAGCGGCCGGCTCGTGCGTCGCTCCTGAGCTCCCAGCCAACCAAGCCTCGAGCAGGTCGCTCGGGCCGCCCCTACCGGTCAGCTCCCGCCCCTCAAAAACGATGGCGTGGAACTGCTGAGACGACGTCAGAACAAGCTTGGGGCTTTTCTCCAGCCTGGACAGACGAGAAGCGGAGCCACACCCAGGAGGTTA